TAAAACTTTTATTAGGTATTTATTAGGGTGGTTCTTAATTGACCGATGTCGAAATTTTAATTTTAAAAAATATAAAAAGAAATGTGTGCCAAATCGTTACCCTAATATAACAAGGTTGTATGTTAAAAAAAACCGAAAAATTTAAGTCTATGTTTCTACAGGATTATACGTGGCCTACGCTTCACATACCACTTAAAAATAATTCTATAGAATGTATATTCTATGTATACATATATATAGTTATTTTCAAGTTGTATGTCAAGGGTGGATTACATAAAACCTTGTAGAAGCATAAACTCAAATTTTTCGTCTTTTTAACATACAACCTTGTTATATTAGGGTGACGAAATATGAATGTCCTAACTTATTCCCTTCTATTGCCTGTAACAAAGAGAAGTTTTCCAGATAGAGGATTTTTGCCTTTAAAGTATTATTTTTTTAAAATTACTATTAATCTATGAAAAAGTATAATTTTTTGAGAAAATGTAGAGGATATAAGCTACTTTTACAAAAAAAAAGAAATCATGTATTTTCATCCTAAGGTCTTTTTTTACTTCGCTCGATTATTACTTACAGTTTTTCATATACCTAGGGGATTTTTGCTTTAAAACACAATAATTTTATAAAATCATTAATAATTAATGAACAATTCTAATTTTTTGAGGAAATGAAGGGAAAATATCGTACTTTTAAACAAAAAAAAAAAGAATTCATGTATGTCAATCGTAAGGTCTTTTTTACTTCGCTCAATTATTACTATTATTGTTATTTTATTGAAAATGTCATAAAAAAAACAAATATCAGTGATAATTTGCATTTAATGCATAATTAGTGTGTTTTGAAAAGTAATTTTGTACTTTTCTAATGTTGGTGCTACCTAAATATCTTTTAGGCAATCTTAAATTATTTGTTTTTTAAAAGGCGTGTAGAAGAAGGATATTTTAATTTACTTATAAACTCCCATTTAAAAGAAGATGTTAAAAAATTTAGAGACTTTTTTCATCTTCTTCTTCTTCTAAGAGAATTAGTGTTAAAAGATCGTTGTCCATGTTATTTGTAAAACTAAGCCAAATCGCATAAAACTAGACACATCAACGAAAACACCCAATATTGCGGCTGCGACTGCAATCAATCGCAGTCGCAAGCCGCAGTCGCTCGAGTCGCATCAACGAAAACACCCAATATTGCGGCTGCGACTGCGATCAATCGCAGTCGCAAGCCGCAGTCGCTCCAGTCGCATCAACGAAACCGTACCTTAAAGGTTGCCATGAAACTTAGATCTATTAAAAATTTATTTGACGTTTGAATTGTCATTTTCAGTATACGTATTCTATAATTTTCTCTTAGAATCGCAAGTTTTAATTGGAGAATTGAAAGTGTGCATACATATTTTTAATAAACATCCAATTAAAACAAAATTAACCGTCAATTTTTTTTTATTTTGCTCTTAAAATTTTAGTTATGAGCTAATTAACAAGAATATAAAAAAATTAGGTTTCACAGAAAGTCCAAAAATCACCTCTCAGAACAGCACCGTGAATTACTTGACTCATAAATTTTTTTATCGGCCTAGGCCATAACAAGGTATTTCTTTATCGAATGTTGACAACAATAAAGTTTAAATTATAAACCGCGTGGAGATAAAAGCTTTTTAAGGTCTCTGATAAGCCCGTATTACAGTCTGCAATTACTTGCAGCAACTTTCATGCATGCAACTTTTATTGGTGACTGAAAAGTCCATGTCTGACGGTGCAACTTCTCGCGGCGACTTTGTTGCGGCGACTAGGTCGCCGCGATTTTTTGGTGGTCACACAATGCAACTAATCAGCTGATCTAAGCTGTCCTAAAATAGAACATGTTCTATTTTCATGCAATAAAATCGCCGCGACTTAGTAACTTTATTAGGGATTTACGAATTTTTACAAAATTTTTTGGTTGGTACTCAATATTTATCAGCTGTGGAATTACAGATGTGATTTGCGTGTGCTTTAATATGAGTGTTTTTATTTATTTACAAATTGTGATAATGAACCAAATAGGCTCTCAGGGATTTACGTGGGATAGGGAATCCACTAAAATATTAATTCTAGGTTACGAGACAACCCCGAATCTGTACCTCACAAATGATCCGGGTTATAAATTAAAAAATAAAAGAGCAGATGCTCTTAATAATATTAAATCCATTATATTCGATAATGGCTATGATGTCAAAACTTTAAAAGAAAAACAAAATCGATTTAAATAAACATTAAATTTGTTTAGGTATTTTTATTTTTTAACTAAGTAGTTTTCGGTTATGTTGGCAATCCTATTAGAAAATAACGTCAGTTTGGTTGCACCGTGTGAACACCCTAGAGGCGAGTCGCCGCGAGAAATTGCACCGTCAGACCACAGTATACACACCACAGTGGTGTGTATACTGTGGTCAGACATGGGCTTAAAACACTTTGCAATTCGAACCGAAGCACAGTGAATCGCTTAGTAGCAGCTAGGTGGACAAAAATAATTTTTTTGAATTAATTTAATAATAAACCTATGATAATAACAACCCCTTAAAAGTCATAAATCAAGGTATTAATTATAGCAAAGACATCGGAGCAATAAGTAATAAGCGGTTAAAGTAAAAAGAAGTAAGTATGTTTTTTGCTTAAATGGAATTTACTTAGGTTTTATAGCGTTATTAATATAAATATTTGTTGTTTTATTTAAAACATTATTTTTTCAATAAGTAGAGAATTTAAGTGGTAAATTTGTTTACGAAAAAAATATTGTAATGGACTTTATTTTGGAGGGTAAGTTTTCTTTTGTTTTATTGAATTGTTTTAAAGTATAACTTTTTTTCTCTAAATGTCTCCAGGCTATTTTTGATATTATGATATAGCGACAGTTTTAAGCTTTAAAACGATGTATAGTTTGCTTCCGCCTTGTTCTGCTTTTTTCTTAATTTGCGTATTTTAGATCGCGTGTTTTCAATATCAAAAATGGAACTTTTTGAAGAATGGCAAAAACATGCGGCAGAACAACGAAGATCTCGTGTATTAGATTATGTTTTTCAAAAATTTAATATAAGTGATATAACTTCCAAGTCGCAGAGATCTTTAAAAAAAATTATATCCATAATAACATCAAAACTAGCTAAGAAATGGACTTATTATAAGATGGACCGTTTTTTAAATAAAAATAGAGCCTGGTTGGATGTAGATATAAAATTTAAAATAACTATGGAACATCCCTTACCATCTACATCTGGAAATTGTCAGCCAGGTCGGCCAAAAAAAATTTATGAAGAATCCTCCTATAAAACTAAAAAAAGGAGAATAAAAGACTTGCTGCAATCGCGAAGTGCCAGTGAATTAACTACAGCCGCCGAAGTGGCAAATCGGTTGGCGGGCAATAATTAAAAAAAGTACTCAAATATCGGAAGAACAAGAATCTAAAAATGTTATTTGTGGTGGTAGGCAGTTAAGTTCTGATGAGGCCTTAGCTTATTACGTAGACTCTAAATGCACTAGTCACTCATATAAGCAGACCCGAAAATGGTCTTTGAAGGCGGGACACAAAGTTTTTCCATCTAACCAAAGTTTAAGTAACTCCAAAAAGTTGTGTTACCCATCAGATGATAATATTTCTGTGACCGAAACACGTGCCGAAATTAAACTTCAAGCCATACTTGATAAAACAGCTGAACGTTTAATTCAAGCACAAAGTGATGTTTTAAAAAGTTTAAATTCTAATTTGTCATTCACATTAATTAGCAAATGGGGGTGTGATGGGAGCTCTGGTCACAGTACCTTTAAACAGAAATTTGAGAACGCCGAAGCTACTGATGAGTTTCTGTTTGTTTTTGAACGCGCGCGTTTCCACGAATATAGATTTGCTACACATGCTTTTAATAACATCTGATCCTGTAATGAACTCACTCAGAGAAATACCTAAAAGAAAAAGCGAAAAATTTCCGGTTGAAGTGTTGGATTTACTTGTTTCGCCTTCCATACCAAAACAACAACAACAAAGAAGTGACGATGAAGAATATTTAATAGAGGATTCGTCTGACAGTAATGATGAGTCAAGTGACGATTAGTAGTTTAAATATTTGAAAAATTATATTTTGTTTAATTTTTTTCAACAATTTTGTTTAAATATTTTTTTAAATCAAGTTTATTGTGTGATGATTTAATATTTTGTTTAGTTTTTAGTTATAATAATTTTTTTTTTCAATATTTGTTGTTTCTAAATTATTATATTTGGTAAAATATAAAATTATATATTTTATTTTAATTATAGATATTTAAATTATGTTAATAATTATTATTTAAATAATAATAATATTTAAAAAATGCATAATTATTTAATTTGGTGAAAAAATATTATTCATAATATTTTTTTTATAAATTTTTAAATTGTTTTGTGAAGGAAATTATGGATGACATGGTAGATTTCTTGAAAATAAAAAATAATTCATACTATTTTGTTATTTTTTTATATCAAATAAATTTAAATAGATATTAAAAAATACCTAGTTGGTTAAAAGGGCCCTAAAGCAGATTTATTTTTTTTTGGTTATTTTTCGTGTATTTTCAGGGTATTTAGAATACATTAAGACAATAAAATAATTATGTCCAGCTAGAATGGCAATTCAGCTCACTGTGCGAAGGCATGCGCATAGCGACGTTTCGTGCAAGTTTATTGACGTTTTAAATTATCGGTCCTTCTCGATTTTTATTGCCAGTTCAGTTAGAATTGCAAAGTGTTTACAGTCAGCATTAAAACTTGCATGCAAGAAAGTTGCTGCAAGTAATTGCAGACTGTAATAAATCTCAGATTAATTTTTCAAAAAAATAATATGGAGGATCCAAAAAATAGCAAATTTTGTCTAAATAATGTGTACGAGGGTTTTTAAGGTCGCTGATTACGAATTTAAATTACGCCCACCGAGTTAAATAACTGTACAATCCTTCATTTTAATTGGCCACATTAGCAAGTTTGATCAAGTGACTTACCTTAACCTTCGACGTCGCACCGGATTGGCTGGCCATTTTCGGCGTACTTTTTGACTGCGATAACAACGAAGAATAAAGAGAAGTTGCTTGAGAAGCCGGCTTAAAACTGGATTTTGGCTGTGAAAGTTGTGATGAGGATTTTGACAAAAAACTAAAAATAACACCATAAATAAAATCAAATATTTAAACAAAATACAAACCTTGAAGTATTTTCTTTGTGTATCTCAGTCTTCTTCTTCTTATATGGGTTTAGAACCAGGTCCTTATCATTGTCACATGATGGTCGTTTTTTGTTATCAAAGGCAACACTGGCTAACTGCGGTGCTACCTGACTATCTTTAACAGAACATTTGTCATCTTCTTCGTCCAAATCAATGCTTTCGGGTAACACCAAATCTTCTTTAACATTTTTCACAGGCTCTACATTCTCACTCAAAGTTTCTGATTGGGCGACAAGGACTGGTGCGCTTTTATTTGGTGTTTCTTGGTTGTTAAAAACATTATCGACTCTGTTGAAGCCTGGGTTGCAGTCTTTTTCACAAGAGCATTGCACTATCGCTAGAGCTATCTCCGGTAGAGGAATGAGTCTTCGGTTTTGTGATTTCATGTAGTCGATTACTTCTTGTAGCGAGGGTTCAAACGTGTTTTCATCAGGCATTTGTATGTAGATAATTTGGTGGCAAATTATTTTGATTTTCTCGAGGGATATACGCTTTTCCTCCCAAGATATGCATTGACCGCCTTAAACACAATGTGTTATTATTTTAAAGTATTTATTCAAGGCAGATGATAGTATTTTATCCGCTAGAGGGCGATACTAAAAAACCATTAGGTAAATCAAAGAATAGGACATTTTAAAAAGTTTGCCAACTGTTTTAAAGTTTTAAGTAGGTCACTTTAAATCAATTTTTATTATTACTTATAGGTAGTTTCTTTTACAGTTATGTCAGTTTGTGACATTTTAAGTAGGTAGCTGTTTTTTTTTAAATTTTGGTAAATTTTACTTTAAGATTTTAAAACATTTTTAGGGATTAGTTAAGAAATTTTTAAGACATTTCTAACAAGGTTTGGGGACATTTTTAAACCGGTAAACCGTTCTTAATAGTATACTATGTATCAAGTTTGATAAACGCCATTTTAGACAGGAATTTATTTAAATGAGTGCCTAGAAAAGTTTATAAACGAGTAACAAACGACAAATACTTAATATTTTTTAAAAAATGATTTAAATTAAATATTTGTATAAAGCGACATCTACATGAAAATAAAGTAACCATCCCAATACACATTTTTGATGTAATTTTCACCAATAACATTGCCCGTTATTAGAAGTCCTTTTCTGTTATGAACCATATGATGAGCTGGTTCTTATGCAACTGCAACAGTTCCAGGGCTACAAACTTACATCAGTTGAAAAGGATATGAGGGACGATAAGGCTGCCAGTGATCTTACTAATTTAGGTGACGATAGTTTAAAAAGAAGTGAAATAAATGAACTATCAGGTTGGATAAAAAGCAAACTACTGGGAAAGGCAGCAGATGTAACTGCCACCACAAGATTGGAGAGTCATCCATGTGTGGTGACTGTGGAGGAGATGGCAGCAGCCAGACATTTTATAAGGACACAAAGCCATCAGTTACCCGAAGACAGAAGATACGCCATTTTACAACCCAAGTTGGAATTAAATCCAAAGCATCCCATTATTAAGAAATTGTATAAACTAACTAAAGAAAATCCAGAATTGGCAGATCTGTTAGCTAAACAATTGTTCGCAAATTCAATGGTTGGAGCAGGTTTGGTGGATGACCCACGAGTCTTGCTAACATCCATGAATGATCTTCTAATTAAGGCATTAGAAAAACACTAATTCTACTTTAGTCCAATTGTCATTCCTTTTTATTGTTATATATATTTTTTTTGATTGTATATTGTAATTATTTGAATTAAACTTAACAATCATTGATACTTTAAAATATAACTTCAAAATATGATTAGGTAAGTACCTACCTATGATATAAAAATATTTTATCCTTTGATTTTTTGTATTAGTATAATTGCAAAAGGTGCAATAATTTTTACATTTAGTATTATTTTACAAGAAAGACACTCTATTTTAACGATTGTATGACATTTGACAACTGTCAACTAACTTAAAACTAACTTCAGCCCGTGACTTAAAACCTGTTGCCCCGTGGCTAAAGCGCCATAAAGCCATAACTTGTCAATGTGTATTTAAAATGTCATCTAGTGTCATGGAAACATGTACGATAATGGCCGTTTTAAAGGTGGGAGTGAAAAAAATGTTTTAAGACAATTTTAATTTTTTCTGACATTTTAAATATTTTCAGGGCATTTAGACAGTTCTAGGTCGGGTTTTGGGCATTTAAATCTATAAATTTATTAGGGTTTTAAGAAAATGTTGGGTAATTTTAGATAGTTCTAAGACAATTTTAAAACGCTTCTAGACATGCAAGTTTTTTATTGCAAATGTGGAATCTATGCATTTATTGTTTGTCATAAAAAAATTCTACTTTTCTTAAACAATTTTTAAGGCATTTTGGAACATGCGTGACGTTAAGATCCTATTGGTGTAACAGTCGTGTCAAGATTTAAGAGTGAAGCAATTGCAAAAATAAAAATACGTACAATTGAAATACTTTGATGGACATGAACATAACCTAGAAACAGATGTTGAATATACAAGAAAATAATTGAATCCTAGTAGCAGTAGCAGTAAGCCAGTGTTGCCAATATAATAATATAAATGCTGCAATGTGAATGGCTGGAGTAGGGTTCAGTAGCAACCAAGGTCGTTGGCGTAACAGTACAAGTCCAAAAGAAAAAAATTTGACAAAATATTTCAAAAAATAAGTTTTATAGTATTAAATGCATTTTTGTAGGAATATTTTAACTATTTTATAAAATATAATGTTCATATTCTGTAAAATGATTTATATCTTCTCACAAAAATGTATTTTGAACTTTAAAAATAATTTTAAAAAATGAGTTGTCATAATTCAATTTTTGGACTTGTACTTTTATTATTCTCACTGATTCAATTTATTTGTAAATTAAAATATTATTTGTTACTGTTGCATATACTTCATTTGTAAGTCCTGACACGCCTGTCTCACCAACAGTATTGTGATATCATGGTACTGAGAGAATTAATTAATTTTTAACAAAAAATTTATAGCAAAAATGGTTTTGTTTAACAGTATGATTGTTTTTAATGACTTATCTCTATAATGGAAGTGGTTTCACACTGATTTTTAACATCATGTCCCAACTCCATTTTATGATAGTTAAGAATATTCTAGACAGTATAAATCAATAAATGTTATTATTTATATCATTTAATAATATATTTAGTTAATTTAAGGACATTTAAGACAATTTTAGACTATTTATAAAATAGTTTTTGTTTTTACATTTAAGTTTTTAGGACATCTAACAGTTTAAGAGCCTAAATTAATAATTAAAAAAAAAAAATCAAGTATGTTTGTAACTTACCTAATTTTTTAATAATATCTTCCATTTGACTTTTGGACCTCTCTTTTGCAAAAATAAAACATTTTCTATGAAACAGCTTAAGCCTCTTTGGGTTATACTCAAAACTAACATTTCTTAAAGCTGCCTCTGCCACTCCAGGTTTGTAATCCTCAATTTGTGGGGGAGGTATTCGCTTATTCATGCACTCAATAAATTTCTGCCAATACTTTGGAACCACCAATGGAATCCCATCGACAGTTGCTTGCAATACCTTTACAGTCAATGTTATTTTGGATACAGTAACATGTGTTACTTTTGATGACCAAACATCAACATGCTTCCCTCTTAATTCTTTAATACATTTCGATACTATATTTTTCTCAAAGGTTGATAACTGTGAGGATGTGACAAAAAACTCTTTAGATTCCAATTTAAAAATACAGTCATATGCCCCAAATTTAATTTCGTCACCTACTTTGATATTTATTTTTGTATTCGCTTCTATTTTGTTGCTGTTGTGGAATGTAAAATAAGTTGAACCACAATCAGTCACATAAACTTCATTGTTCTGCAAATAATACACATAATTTTAGCAAAAATTTGTGTAAATATTTCTTATTTACCTCTAATTTTATTATAGCATGTTTCCTACTAATAGATTTATCGTTAGTTAACACAAAATCACAATCTTTTCGACCAATGGAATATTCTTTGCTTTCGTAAAAATATAAAGTTACACCACCTGAAAGTAGCAAAAATTTAAAATTTACATAGTAATAATGCAATACACACTTAATACCTTTTAAATTATTTAATATAAACAACATTTTAAAAGTTGTTGTTTTGATGCATAAGAAACTGTTTGTTGATAATAGTTTGGTTAGTCTTCTTCCTATGGTCTTCTTCTTCTTCCACTTGCTTTCAATATTCAGTGTTGCCAACATAAAGACAATATAATTTTGATTTGAAATGATTACTATTCTATGTTAAGTACTAACGATTCCCTAATCATTGATTAGGGAATCGTTAAAAATCATTTAAAATAAAAAATATGTACCTACCAGTCATTATGGGGCGCCGTTTGTCTCATTAATAAATGAAGTAATGCTATAATAATATTTTTACTGATATTATCAGTGATATACAGAGTGTCCCAAATTTTTATATCATAAAAAATTACCTATTGCTACCCGTATATACCCAGTATGCGTAATACATTTCTTAATATAAAAAAATATTATTCTAAACAACGGGTATAAAATACTTGTGCCAATATTATTAAAAGCCGCAAATAAGGGCGCATTGTTAAACAAATTTTGTGCTCTATGGCATGGAGCCTACACATACAGTGCTTGCAAATCCAAGTCCGACCGGTTTGGGAAGGACGCGTGAAAATAACAAGGATAGAACGCCAAACAGAAGGCGCTTACAATACGCACGCCTGACGCTCTGACCAATCAAATTCTGTTTGGTATTCTATCCTTATTCTTTTCACGCGGGTATTGAACAACCATCCTTCCCAACGCGGTCGGACTTGGATTTGCAAGCACTGTATAGGCTCCATGCTCTATGGGATGAGCTGCGTGTTTGTTTGAATGTAGGTAGGCAACTCAGATTACAAATAATAATCTTCACTCAACGATGGCGGCTTTAAAAGTTAATAACTTTTGAAACTTAGAAAAAATGGTAGGTAAGGGGAAATTTGTCCTGAATTTTCAAGAGGAATTTACCCTTTGGAACGCTAATTTTGGGAAACCCTTAATTTTATTATTATTGAAATATGACCAGACAAATTTTCAAATACCTAGGTACCAGCATTATTTTTTAGACATTCTGAACAATATTTTTGATGTACTAAAAAATAGTCTAATATATATGAGAACCTACCTAGAAGCCAAGGGGTACAAGTAGGTATATTTTGTTTAGTTTTGAGATAATCATTTTTAAAGTAAAATAACACCTATAATTTGTAGTCAAAATTGTTTATGGTTTTATGACTTTGTTCTTCAAGATGTCTAACTTAGACATTTTACTTGATATCCAAGGGATATAACTGAATTCTAAGCTTAGACAGTCTAAGCTTAGAATTCAGTTATATCCCTTGGATACCAAGTAAAATATACCATTTACTATTTTTTTCTGTACTTACATAACTAATTTTTTTTTTAAATATCACTTGCATCCCTTAGCCAATTGGCTTCTAGGGTCCTAAAATTATATATAGGGTACACCTTTCTTTCTATGTATGTGTATTTTTATAGGTCGGTTAAATTAGAGAAAATTTGCGTAGGAAATTATAATATATAATTCTATTAAAATGATACCTATTTAATAATTAAAAAAAAATTAAAACCTGTCAAAACTAACATTCCTGTGAATTTTGAAAAAAGATTTTTTTTGCTTTTACCAAAAAGTAAAATAAAAAAGTATAAATTTTTTGAAATGTTTGGTACCTATCATAAAAAAACATTTTAAAGTTTAAAGATCAAAACGCAAAAAAACTCCCACAAAATTAATAAAAAAAATGATAATCCTCGCGGCCGCCGAGAATTTCTCTAAAAATGTAATAATCTATTTTTTTAAATTTCAGACGCATTTATAGTCGCTGAGCATTCCAAAATTTAAATGTCGAAGATTGTCCTTGACAATTGTAAAACATGTTAAATTCCATCATACTTTTTGGTCCACTAAAAATTTAAAGATGCTTTAAAATGTCACTCATTTAAATATTCAAATTTTGATTTTATGGCATTGCGTAGTAAAAATATCTTCGATTTAATGTTACTAGTAACTAGCTAGTTACTATACAATATTTATTAATCATTATTTTGAAAAAAAAATCGATAGATTTTTTATGGTTTTTTACGTGTACACAAAATTCCAAATTTTATTAAAAAAAAATTTCATAATAATATTTACGCAGGGACGTAGGATTATGAGGGGTTATTTAAATGTTGATTATTTCAAAAAATTTCCGATTTTAAATCTAAAAATGTAAATGTAATAATAGCATAATTTTTTTCGCGAATTAATAAATTTGTCTCATAATTCATTATAAAAATTGTCTATTTATTGATTTAAATATACCGGGTGGCTATACAATTTTTATTACCACACAATCCACACAACATGTGTGGATTGTGCATTACCACACATTTCTTATCAGGCCCGGATTTAAGGGAAGCAGGTGCCCTTAGCCTAGAGATGTAAAAAAACGGTTTTTTTTCAGATGTGAAAAAAAACATGAAAAAAAAACTAGAAAAAAAACGTTTTTGACCAAGCCTAAAAAATCTGATTTCTTATTATTTGGTAGTTTCCACATTAAAAACCAATAGCAATGTAAAACTTCTACAGTGTAGAAGTTTTACATTGCTATTGGTTTTTAATGTGGAAATAATAAGAAATCAGATTTTTTAGTAGAATCTACACTAGGGTGGCTCAAAAAAACCGACTATTTTTTTTTTTAGTCTCGAGTGAAAAAATGTTAGTTGTTGTTTTAAGAGGCCTCTCCAAAGGACAGCTAAAAAAAATTTTTTTTTTAGAGGTCGCTCCAAATTTTTTTAAATATCAAAAATCTTCAAAAATCGATTTTTTTTAAATTTTTTTTCTCGGTACGGTATAATTTTACAGACATAAAAAAATAAGTTTCTGAAAGTTACAGACCAAAATTTAAATTTTGAAAGGTCGCTCATAATTTTTTTTAATTTATCAGGGCATTACTTTATAAAAATCTATAGATTTTTTCGAGCGACCTTTTAATATTCACATTAAAATTCCATGCATTTTTTTTTATTTAGTACAATAATCGATAAAAATACACCACGAGATGAACTAAAAATCAAGCACAATATAGAAAACATAATTTTTTTTCAATTTAATAATTTTATTTCATCAACTACAACATTTTGACGATTTTTGAAATTTAAAAAAATTTGAAGCGACCTCTAAAAAATTTTTTTTTAAGCTGTCCTTTGGAGAGGCCTCTTAAAACATCAAAAACTAACATTTTTTCACTCGAGACTAAAAAAAAAATAGACGGTTTTTTTGCGCCACCCTAATCTACACTAATACAAAAAATTAAAGGATAAAAATCTTTTTTTGCGATTTTTCGGATAGCTGTATATTTGTTAAAAATGGTCGTATTGGAGCCGTAAAAAAAGCAATTTGAAGCTTGAAGTTTATAGTTTTTTATTTCTTTTTTGGTCCACGGAATGTTCTGACCACCAATGAAGAAATTTTCCTCAAGAATTTGCTATTGTTTTTTCTCTACATAAATTTGAAAAATCATGAAAAAAGTGCTTTTGGTAGCTTTTTGAAAAATCAAGCGCTGAATCAAAAATATTATATGTACCTAGTTACTTTTTTTAGGACCAAATCAAAACAAGCGCGGCCATTATTGGTCAAATCGGTGGTTGCCACATGTGGCGAGTGCATAACGCGAGACTGTATTTACATTTAATAATTGTCATTTAGTGGCTAATTTTAGTCCATGGAAACATAAAAAATTAGGCAAACGGAACTAATCTTAAAAAAAAACCTAAAATGTGAAAAAAAAACCATTTGAAAAAAAACAATGAAAAAAAACCTGAAAAAAATAAAAAAAAACGCACCGTTTTTTTTCAGGTCGCATCTCTACCTTAGCCTAAGGGCCTTAGGGGCAATTGCCCTTTCTCAAGTTTAAAACAAAATATTAATTATTTTTAAAATGCCCGTTTTTTATTGTCCTGGGGAAAAACGTTGTTTTTCAGTTTATCCGGAAATTTTAAATCTTTATACCTTTAAACACTAAAAAAAATGGTCTCAGTATATTAAAAATGGTTTACGCAAATAATTTGGACCTTTGCCCCCTTACAAATTTTGTATATCCGGGCCTGTTCCTTACACCAAAATAAATTGATTTAAGTTAAATTAAATATTATTAAATATTTTGGGAGTTGCAACGCCTTACATGTAAGGCTAAAGTAACAATTTTTATATATTTTTTAAAAACGTTTAATCTTTATAAGTTTTAAAGGTTGAATGTTTTTATAAAATATATATATAAATTTATATATAGCTAGGCTATAGCCTTACAACGCCCTATATTATTTATATACCAAATATTATCTATAGGCCAAAAAGAGACCTAAATAATTCGAAAAAAATGTCAATTTCAACATAAAACAATTTATTAAGAAGTCAAGATCATACCTACTTTATTAATTTATTGTAGATTAATTGCATTAGTGCAAAAAAATAATTATAAAAATGTAGGTATGTAGGTAATTAAAATATAATAAAACATTAGGTAAGGAAGGAAATAATTTTCAAATTATCTAGTTTTTTAATTCAAAAATATCTTAGAAATGAATTTGCAATTTTAACTTAGATTTAGATCAAAATTACTTAAAAACATTATTTGTATGTCGACATTTATAAAAAAAAAATCTACTCCCATATTGACAAGCTTTGGCTTTTGGCCAAAAAGTTTTGGTCATTTTAGTCAAGGGCTGAAGTTAGCTTTATTATAAATTGCGAAAAAGTAAGGTTAAAGTCGTCAGATGTCAAATATGTATATATGTAGGTATGTAGGTATATATATATATATATATATATATATATATATATTTATAAATTAAAATTGACATAACATTTTTATTTCTTTTAGTCGTAGATAAAGTATAGAATGCAACTCGTTTTATAAACTTCTCTAGACACTCGTTTTTATTAAACACTCGCTCACAAGCTTCGCTCGTAACTAAAATGGAGTTTATAAAACTTGAAACATAATATACTATTATTTAAATTTGAACCTTCGCAGTGGCATAGATTAAAATAAATATCATGTATCTTTAATAAAGATGAACATTTTTTAATAGCAGGTGACCTTCGGGATGTTTTCAGATATTGTTTCAATTTTTTCATAATGGCGCCTTTAAATTTATACCTAGATAGGTGCGCCAATTTATTATACTAAAATTGCGGATATGAATTTAATTAACATTTTGGAGACCCGAGAAGGTAATTGCTTTATTAGGCAAAAAGTATACCTATAAATATAAAAAATATAAAAAAAATTATAAAATTTATATGGCTATTTTAAGGATAAAAGTTTATTACTGAAGTTGTTAATGAAAGCATTATAAATGTTAATTGATTTCCCAATGGGAAATTCCCATCCTATTTTATCAAAAATACATTTTAAAATTTGCGAGCATTATACTGCCTCACTATGGAGAAAGGCAGTAACTGCAAAAAAATGCAAAATGCGTTTTCTTGTGCTATGGTAAAGCTATGGACTTAAAATCCTAAGAATATTCGAACAAAATTCGCACAGTGGCTCAAAATTAAAAAAAATTGTGAAAAATCCGCATAGTAGTATAAATATAAAAAGTAGTAGAGCAAATATTCAAATGTCTTAAAATTTAAAAAAAATTAAAAAATACCAATATTTCAATTTGAAAAATTTTGAATGACATTAATATTTGACACTAAAAAAGATATCGATATTTGAAATTTGAATAGCAATTATAACTTATAATTTAAATTATAATTATAAGCCAATATAAACTATTTTTTAAAATTATTTTCAATGCGTTATTACTTCCGGTTGAACCGGAAGTGAAATAAACTTTTTCAAATGGAACTAAATATTATTGCATTTTTAAATTTTACGTAAAATTCTAGAAATTCTAAAATCTGCTTATTTTTTTATTTTTAACAGTTTTTAAGGTTTTTAAATTTTGAAAATGCTGCAGCATTTCAATAGAAAACATTATTTTGTGTCGAATGATGTGGAAATTGTATGGTATATAGTTTCGTTTGAAATAAAAAAGTTATTGATATTTAATGTCACAAAAAAGTCAACGTAAATACCAAACACCCAGTATACAATTTTCAAATTTAGATAGGTACACCATAAATTAACATTGCAATTAGTAAGACCACCCATCTGTCAAAATTTTTGAAAAAAAATTAAATATCTATCTCAAAAATTGTTCAAGATAAAAAATAATCAAATTTCAGTATTTCTAGAATTTTACGTAGGATTTAAAAATGCAATAAAATTTATATGGTTCTATTTGAAAAACCAAAGTTGAAAATAATTAAAAAAAAAGTTTACATTGGCTTATAATTGCAATACAAATTCCAAATCGATATCTGTTCCGTTCATAAACTAATTTATAGGTGCTCAGTTCAGATTTACAGGAAAAATTTCGTCTTTCAGTTGGTAAAATGTTTTTAATGATGATTGGTACTTAACAAAACGGTTTTTCGTTTAATACCACTTTTCCCATACGTTTTCTAAAACATCTAAATCTTATTTTTCTAAAAAGATTCCTTCACGATCTTTTTAGGAAATTAAAAAAAATAAGTAAAATTATGAACATATTTATGCGGCCAATAATAGTTATATGTCATAAGGCTGAGAAGTGTTTTTTGTGCATGATAGTAAATGATTGTCATGGTAATGTGTAGTTAATTATATATAATCATTTTGTAATTTAAAATTTTATTGGTTTAAAGTTTTCTTACTATCATGTATTGAAAGAAAAAATGTACTAACAGTTTACTTCTGTATTAAACAATATTATTTCCAATGAATTTTTCCAAAAATTTCTAAACAATAATTTTTAATTTTTTAATAAAAATAATTTATTAAGAATTTTGAAAATAAATTTTTAATAAAGAATTGTAAATAAATATTATTAAAATTATTTATATTAAATTGGTAAAGTTAATTTTTTTAGTATTTAAAAATAGTGTCGAGACATTTAAAATAAGAACACATATAAAACATTTTTTACCAAAATAGTTTAAAAAGTTAATTTTTTTTAAACTCAAAATAATTGATAATCAAAAAATATTTTAAATATAAAATGCAAATGTAAAAGTAAAGATTAAAAATTTATTGAGTAGGTATCATTTAAATGACCCTTTACAAATGTAAACCAATAACTTTTATTTTTAACAAATTAATACATTTTTAACACAAACCTATTCACATTACATTTTATTTTCGATAATTTTTAATTTAAGTGGAAACGCGGCTTTAGCTGACTGCATATTATGCTGCAGACTACGCTTAAAATTGACCACTCTAGAAAGTGATAGCGTACGCCGTCTGCTAAAGCTACGTTTACACTTTGTAAATTAAAAATTGAGAAGGTGCATTCCAAAACTCGGCTTATCCATATTAGTTGCTTTCGAGCAAAATGTCAAAAATCTTACACGTGAGTACTAACGCATATCAGGCAAATACAATACTTTAAACAAAATATACAGGCATATCTAAAACATTTATATACCTTGATTAAAATAACTCCAGTTTAAAATAATTTAAAATTAAATACGTATAATATACGTCGTATATGCCGAGTTCTGCATGATATAACCAATAGATAAGGCAAGTTTTGGAACGATAGTCAATTTGTAAATGAATTTTAAATGGAATAAGGTTAGTTTAGAATATTATGAAATTTATCAATTTAAAATTGTTAAAGATAAAAAGTTTTGGTTTATATGATAGTCGTTAAATTTTTAATCCAAACATTACCACTAAAATTTAAAATTTACCTTTAAATGTAATGTGAGAATTTATGTTTTAAAAATTTATCGACTATCATTTTAATGACTCTTTACAAGTTTAAACTGATAATTTTGTGGAATAAAATATTTGTACTAAAATTTTTAAAAATTAATATTTTTAATGTTAAAGTTAAACAGTTGTATTTTATATTTAAAATATTTTTTGACTATCAATTGTTAAAAAATCATTAAAGTGCTAAACTTTAACCTTAAAACTATTACTTTTTAAATTCGGCGTGCTGAAGACTTAAGGATGAGACAACCAAATTAAACAAGTGTTTTTTTTAAATATTTTTTTAATAATTAACATATCTATATCCTAGATAAACTTGATTTTCAAGCAAGGCTAATGAAGAAGAATCTGGTTACCTGTATTTTCTGAATATAAAAGACGGAATTTATTAAATATTGGTATTATCATATCGATATTTAGTGATAACACACCTTCAAGATGATGAAATTGGTAAGAACAATTTTATAAACAGTACACCATTACTACGTACTTTGGTCCACACCCAAAAAACCCACCACGTGACTTTTTTAGTGTGTTCCAAAGACCTTTATACACAAAAATACAAACATTGCATTATTTTCAGTAAATAGCTTGACAATAACAGAAAATTAACCTTAATTATTTGTATTAAAGTCACGTGCTGGGACTTGGGTTTTGACCATATTACTCTAAAAATAAAAAAATACAACAAATTTAATAAAACATGTATTGTACAAAATTAGAGACATTTCAATGAGGTTTGATACATTTTTGGGGTATCTTATCTAACTTTTCCTATTTTTCATTTTCAGGTATTCCTTTCCGCTTTCGTAGCCTTCGCTGCCGCCGACGTAGCCCATTTGTTCCACAACCAACAACCCCAACTCGTAGCCGCACCTCTGCGTCGCGTAGCCCTCCCAGTGCAACCCCAATTGATCGCCACCCGCGCCCATGTAGCCCATGTAGCCCATGTAGCCCATGTAGCCCCAGTGGTCGTCAAACACACTCCTGTCAACACCCACGACGAACTTCACGCCGAAATCGTGAGCTTGAAGAGCGACATCACCCCAGAAGGCAGCTACGACTGGGCGTAAGTACCAAAAATGTCATATTCCTGTTTTTAGCCAATTTTATGAGGTTAGAACCGTCGGATGGATGTCGAATTTTACTCGATTGGATACGAGGGGTTTCCCCCAGTTTAAAACGCAATGGGGTAGTTAAATTTTTTCTGACCTATACTTTTTATGGTTTTATTCAAGGCGTTTTGTAATATTAAACATTTCTGTGAAATCAGAATTTCAATTGAGTTTACCGTTTTCGAGTTATTTACAAAAAATATAAATTTTTATGACGTCACAAACCTCGCCATGTGACCAACATTCTAAGATTTTTATTGGTTGAAAATTACCCTGTTGTCAAGTTGTCTTGTTAATGATTTCATTCGGTTATGTCAGAAAATACCCGAAGAGGTTATGTACAAATACTGTCACTGTCAGTTGAGTGAAATATGGTCACCAAATTCATTAAGTACCTACCTATCTTCCTTATTACGAGGTATATACCTCGTAATAAGGAAGATAGGTACTTAATGAATTTGGTGGCCATATTTCACTCAACTGACAGTGACAGTATTTGTACATAACCTCTTCGGGTATTTTCTGACATAACCGAATGAAATCATTAATATGATATCATATTACTGTTTGATATTTTAGAGTCCAAGATATATCTAAAAGAATATAAAGAACAAGGCATTATACTAATGAAATGCATTTACGACAAAATATGATTATAATTATAGGGACTTACTTTATTTGTTTAAAAGCTCCAATGTTCAATGTAACCAACCATTCCACAAGATTCCTCTGCTTTGGAGTCCGTTATTAATAAATCACTTATCTAATATCAATTACAAATAACATAACAAAAACATTGATTTTCAATAATCTAAATTTAAAAAAAACATAACCCGAAAAAAAGAAAAGTCAAAAAATCAATTCTTCTTCTTCTTCTCAACTAAAATTATAGATCAAGTGGTTTTAAAACTAAAATATTATAACGTGGCGCCATCTATCGTAAGAATCTTCATCTAAACACACTGTCTATGGTTGCTAGCAACGTTGTCAATAGCCTAGTGACGCAATTAGGAGATTTTTTTTGTAAATATCTCGAAAACGGTTAACTCAATTGCAATTCCGATTTCACAGAAATGTTTAAAATTACAAAACGCCTTGAATAAAACCATAAAAAGTATAGGTCAGAAAAAATTTAACTACCCCATTGGTCCAAATAATGCAATCGGCCATTTACCGATTACTAGCCTCATAACAGTTTTTTTCTACTTTCACCTTTAAAACGTGTTTCTACATGTTTCCATGACACCTTTTTTTAATTTCGCCGGCACATAAACACATAAAAATTTGACATTTGACGGTAACACAGATTGTTTTACAGATGTCACTCTGTCAAATATTTTATTTAAATCATTTTTATTTTAAAACTATTTGTCGTGCCTAAATTAAATTCGTGACTAAAATATCGTTTATCAAACTTGATACATAATATACTATTATCTGTTTAATTTTGAATTTTATGTGCCTTTGTGTCGTGTCGTGACGACAATAAAGTTTTGTTTATTCTTCTTTTTCTTCTAGTACATCTGCCTACTTTGTTACATTTATTATTTAAGAATTCATGTAAATTATGCAGACCCAGCCAGTTAAATTATTCATATATTAGGAAACCATAAAATATTAATTTACATACATATCTATATAATTCTATTAAAACATGACGTAATTGTCAACCTTGAACTTCATTAAAACTGAAAATTTTCTCATGAATATCTTCGAGCACGCTTGTCTGTCTGAAAATGCTTCATGTTTGTTTGCTAAAGATCAAACAATTTTTGACGTATCGAGTTCATTTTTGTTTTTTGCTGTAAATGTTAAGGTAGATAGACACTCTCACGATTCGTCTGAATTATTTATTATTAATTATTTAATTATGATATCATGAACGGATATTATATTTGATTAATAATTTATATTTAATTTCAAGCCGCAAGTTAGATATTGTGTTACATTGTGGGTTTAGTTATAAAAACCTATTAAACAAAATTATTTTAAACTTATTATAGAAAGTAACTGAGAAAAAATATTTGCTATTCAAGGTTCGTAATGTTTTCCTCAAAATGAGACTTTTTTACTTTGGAAACATCAGCTTACCACAAAAAGTAACCATAGATGTGCAGAACATTAATCCACACAATATACATGTGCAGTGCACATTTTCAAGTACCTATGTGCACATTGTGCACATAGGTACTTAAAAATTAAAATTATCTAACGCAAAAAATAAGCGAGATAAGAATAAAAACGATAGCCAATCACAATGCTTGGCCATAGGGAATTCTTTAAATTGCTAGGATACTTAGGATGCATTGATGATTTATTAATATGTAAAATATTTGGTCGTTTGGAATCCACTTCATTGTGACACTGCTGTCAATTTTTGTTCCTGTCATTATTTATCATTTTAAGTTATGTTTTCCACCTCTGATTATGCCGAACTGATGAATAATATGGGGAGTATGGGCGCAATGTTAGGGAGGCAGCACGAGATTTTTCCCAGCCCTTTCCCAATCGTCCCCTGGACTGTAAAGTTGTTCTGTGTTGTAGCGAAATTGAAAGTGTTTCTTAACGTATTAGATCCGCGGAAGCTATTTTCAATGCCTTTGATGCAAATAGTAGGAAGAGCATAAGGGAAGTTGCACGAGAATGTCTCGTCCACAGTTCAGCGGGTTATAAATGACATTTATTTTACGCGAGTGCAACATTTAAGTAAAACTTGGTTGCCCCCAAGAAGACTTTGCAACTTTAAAAAAACTTTCAAGTAAATTTAATTTGTAGCAGTTACTTTCTACCTAAATATTACATTATAATTATTTTTACTTTGTAGTCCCTTTGCAAGTTAAAATCTCGAAACTGGAACATGAGTTAAAAACTACAAAGTTAATAACTTAAAAGTTATTATTTTAGTATTTGGAACGTTTATGGTAGGTACCAACCAAAACTGCCGTAAAGTAAATTTAGATGGAAAAAACTTTAAAGTAGCGAAAACTACTTCAAAGGAAAATGCTTCTTATCGGCCATTTTTTGCTGTACAGTACCACGTGGTAATGTAAATAATAAATTATTTTAATTGTTTGTAAATGGTTGTTTACTTTTTAATAAATAGTAATTTTGTTGGTAATAGACGGTATTAATAATTAAATAAAAAATTAATAATAAATATTAAGATTTTTTTATTTATAAACATTATTAAATAAATAATTTGTTTAAACTTAAATATTGATAAAGCGCATTTATTTTACAAAAACTAAATTCATAAGTTCAACAGTAAAATTTAAAGGGTTTATAAATTTACCTGCCTAATTAAACATTATATTGATATTCTGGAATTACCTACATATTTAATAAACGACGACATTGAAAACCCAAGTCCGTAGTGGTTCCACGCTCTAGCAACGATATTGAAACGTTCTAGTAACGTAGCAGCTACGTTCCAAATAGTAGCAGGGTTTATAGCTAGTGACATATATGCTACCTTTTTGAAACTCAATAATTGTACCCCACTTTGGTCGTAAATTAGTAATGAAAGAGTAAGATAAAGAGATCGGCGACTGTCGCAAAACACTTTCAAGTTTCTTCAATAGTCCCATATACGTAACAAATACTTAAATTGTTGCTTCTTCTTTTCAGTTACCAAACCTCCAACGGAATCGCGGCCCAAGAAACCGCCCAAATCAAGGCTTTGGGAGCTGAACAAGTCGCCAAATCCGCCCAAGGTTCCTTCTCCTGGACTTCCCCCGAAGGTGTACCAGTCGCTCTCCAATACGTAGCTGACGAGAACGGTTACCAACCAGCCGGAGAATTGCTCCCAGTCGGTCCACCAATCCCAGCTGCCATCCTTAGGTCTTTGGAATGGATCGCCGCTCACCCACAACAAGAAAAATCCTTCGAGAAGGTTCAATACGTCAAGAACTTCTAGGAAGTTAATTTTTAGACCTATGAATGCTGTGAATATTGTTTTGTGTAAATAAATTTTTGTACATTTTGAATTTGTTGGTTTTATTAGTTTAATTTTCTAACCAATCATTTTATTTCTATTATAAAAGAATCTGACATCTGTTAGATGGTTACTTACTTTTTACCAATTCTAAATATTATAGTTCGCCAATTTACAATCCGATTGGTTTAAATCACTGTGGATATTGAAATCGGCCAATAAGTTTGTTATTCCCGTCGTTAGGCAGGGAATTTATATTGTTTATCATTATACAGGGTGTTTTAAATTTGTGGTCCATTAGAAGTTGCTGGGGAACGGAAAAAGATATCGATTTGAAACTTTAAAAGCGTTTACAATCCAATTAAGTCTATTTTTTTAAAATATTTTGAACTTTCTGAGTAAAATTACTATACCACGTCCAATACGTAATAAGTTTTCGAGTTTTTTCGTTAAAATTTGAGAAATGCGCGTCAATCATAGGTTTGCGGATATGGCAGTGGAATTAAAACATTGTTTAAAAGGTTTCATGTCAGTTCTTTAACGATGAACTTAACTTGAAAGGTTAATAACTTTTTTATTTTAAATGTTACACCTGGTATGTTTTTACATAATCAAATAGTAGGTACATTATACCCAAAGTTAATTATTTCAGAAATATTTAACAATTTCTAAAATTTTAAATATTTTTTTATATCAAGAAACCTGTGACGGCTGAGTTAACGGTGGTCACCACGTAATCTGTCATTTTTTAAAATTTAATGACGTAAATTTGTCAGGTGGTTTTAAACAATTTGTTGACTACTGATTACTGATAAAAAATAGCATCAGTGACTTATAAAAAACATTGACAAGACAAACATTTTAAAAATTTAGAAGTTAGGTATACTAAATTAGTATTACTAATATGCTATTTTAAAAAAACAACTCAACAAAGCTGTAGATAAAGTACTAGCTCATTGGAGACAATAAAATATAATATTTATTTTGTGAAACATTTTAATAACAAAAAGAATGCATAACTGTAACAATTTAATAAACTAACAATATTTTAATTAAGAATTTTTTTACTAATTTATTACTAAATATTTAGTGTCCTTCATTTATATTCAAGCATTTCTTAATTCTTACTTCTACATTAGACGTTGCTCTTCTTGACTAAAATATTGTTTATTAAATTGTTACAGTTACTCGTATAACAACCTGAAAAATTGACGCAATTAAATTTTCAACAATGACAGATTACGCGATAACCATACAAAATAATATATAAAATTTTAGTAATTGTTAAATATCTCTTAAATTATGAACTTTAAGCAGGGCCGTACCGAGGCACACTTTTTTGGGGGGGTGGAGACGATAAAAAAACCAACTTATTTTTTTATCGATACTTTAGTACCTAGTAATAGTAAAAATTTTCTGTAGTTTTATCATGTACCTATGTAAAGTGCTGTAAAGTGTAGATAAAGAATGTCTTTACCTACCATAAGCATGCTTTTTCGAAGTCTATTTTTTTGACTTGCTGCCAATGTATATGGATTATCCGGAACAGCAACAATTTTAATTTTAACCAAATTTCCACCGTGAATATTTTTCTCTTGCATTTTTTTCTAGTCCTTGTTAAACACAGATCCACATAATGAGCATTTTACTAGAACTTGGCCCGGTCTAGCTTTCTTTTCCATATTAAAAAAAAATTCCTATTTATTGACACTAGTTTTACTTAGCTTAGATAAGCTTCAACTAAATAATAATCTAGAAAAATAAGACGCCGAGCCAAAGCCAAAGACAAAGCCGCGAGGCGGTGTCGACTTAAATTTGTACATGCCGCTTGTGTGAAATATAATGTCCTTTAATAAAAATAGGGTTGAAATACAATTTTCTTGACGGTAACGATTATAGGAGGTTATTAAATAGATTAAAAATTATAATTTTGTAATATGTAGGTATAGTTTAAAAATTATATTTAATTTTATTTATTGTGATGGGTTGGTTGGTAGGGTAGGTATACCCAACCAACCGACCCAAATACTAGATTTTGCCAACCGTGTTTGGATTTGGAACCAACTGCCAAGACTTTGGGGGGGTGACTCCCCCCCTACACCCCCCTTAGGCCCGGCCCTGACTTTAAGTATAGGGAATTGACAAAGAATATTTTAAACAATGTTTTAATATTCCAAAAATTTCAACCCCATATTCACAAACCTAATAACAAAACAGTTATAGGCTATTTTTGATTGACGCGCATTTATCAAATTTTAACTCGAAAACTATTTACTTTAGGTATAGGACATGGTATAGTAATTTTACTCAGAATTTTATGTGGAATTTAAAAATGTAAAAATATGTGGGGTGTATATTTCAAATAAGAAAGTGGATGTCACACAATTTTGTTCAAAATATTTGAGAAAAAATGATTTTGTTTTAATAACTATTAAACACCATTTAGTTAAAATCACAAATTTTAATTGTCATTTTTTGACTTTTTTTCGAAAAATCAAGTATAAAAATATAAACAAACTCGATCCTGAAAAAACAAAGGAAAAACAACAATTTTTTTTGTAATTTTTAACTATTTATTATTTATTTTGAACACCTTGGATATAAAATTCCAAATTTTTTTATGTCAATATAATTATTTTTGAAAATCAAAACTTTTTATCAAAAATATCTTTTCTTCGAAAAACAAAAAATAAAAAAATGTCCCTCCTGTAAACACAATACGGGGAAATACAGTCAAACAAAAAAAAGTATTCAATTTACAAATCTTTTGGTGTTTTTTTTTTCATTTTTATTATAGATAGATTGCTGAAGTAGTTAATTACCGGTTAACTATCAGCCGAATTAGCCCTATAAGCAAGCAAGCCTACATAGCTGAGAAATGTTTTTCGTGGTATAGCTCGGCATTCTCGAACTATTCGTTGTCACAGATCTTCAATAGAATAGGCTGAGTTTTGTAGACGACAGATTTTAAATGACCCCATAAGAAAAAGTCTAATGGTGTTAGATCTGGAGATCTGGAGGCCATTATATTGGTTCTCTTCTACCAATCCACTTTTCTGGATAATTCTGATCCAGCCAAGCCTAACAGCTACTGGTTCATCTTTGATTTTCTAGTTTACTTATTATTATTGGCTATTGTGTTGTATTAACTAACATTTCAAAATAAATACAATAATACAATATCCTAAAATTCTAAGGTTTTGAGAAATTTAAGGTCCAAACTTATATTAATAGAAGATTACAATTTTTATCTAAAAGCTTTCCTAGAAATGACCTTGAGACATCAATACAACACACGACTTATTATTGCTGAAATTAACCTACCCATCTGGTAACATTTCTGCAGGTAATAATAATATTACTCAGTCATTAAATAATCGTTATAGAAATTTTTAATATAAAACAAAAATTAATTAAACCTAACATCACATCGTCCTGCCTCAACTTAATTTATTAATATTTCTTCAATGCCAATGCATCAACCAATTTAAACCATATAATTATCCGTCCATATTTCATAAGGAAATCAGAACAAAAAAATGAATGAAATTCCATGCGAACCCCCAAGCGTTTTATTAACACTTAAATTCAAATGTAATGTTTTATAACCCGACATTTAACCATCATCCATGAACACTAGTATAAAAGAAGATTTACGCTATTTTTATTCAACACAAGTTAAAGTGTGCTCTGTACGAATTCATACATCTAAAAAATGATTAAATTGGTAAGTGTTTTTAACAAGTTGTTTTGTGATTTATTTAGTGGTTTTCTAACAATTAATTTCTTTAAGGTGGTCTTGACAGCAATATTGGCTCTTGCAAGTGCCGATGTGTCCCATGTAATTAAAAATCAATATAATGGAGTTTACAATAAACAATACAATGGTCAGTATAATGGACAGTATACTCGTTACAATCAATATAACCAAGGGCAGCAGATTCCAATTCTTCGTCAAGAATCTGATGTAGCTGCTGATGGTAGTTACAGATATGCGTAAGTAATAAACTCTCTGATAAATTTTATATTCCTGACCAAAATTTCATCTTTCAAGGTATGAAACTGCCAATGGTATAGCAGCCCAAGAGCAAGGTGTTGGAGGACATCACGCTCAAGGCAGCTTCGCCTGGACTTCCCCGGAAGGACTTCCGGTCCAAATCAGCTACGTAGCCGATGAAAATGGCTACCAACCTGTCGGTGCTGCTATCCCCACTTCCCCACCGATCCCAGAAGCTATTTTGAGATCTATTGCTTATAACCAAGCTCATCCCCATGAACAAGACGAGGAAGCAAGAAAATATAATAATTATAACTATAACAGGAAATTTAATAATTATTATAAGAAGTATTAAGTGTACCTAATAATGTTGATAAATTAGTGAAATGATGAATGTACCTAATAATAAAGAATTATTATCAAAAAGACGCCCATTATCGTACATGTTTCCATGACACTAAGTGATCTTTTAAATAGACGTCACTTTATTAAGTTTTAGTCACGGGCTAAAGTTAGCAGCAGCGGCTTTCGGGCTTTTTAGTTAAGGGCTGAAGTTAGCTCTAAGTTAGTTGACAGTTGTCAAAAGTTTATATGAACGTTTGCAGTAAACTAGTATTGGCTAATAAAGCATTTAAAATTTCGGCTTCTGTATAGGATTTAAACGGCAGAAATTTTACACACACTGCCATTTTGAAAACCGGTAGAAAAGATTACTAATAACAATTTGGTTACTCTAGTACCTATGCAACTCATTTTATCAAACACTCGCTAAAATGGTGTTCATCAAACTTAACAGGGTACTATTTAAGATCAACAAGGATTTTTTGGATTTTATCAATTAATTAAAATATACGATTATTATCATATATTTGTCATCAAATGAATAAATGTAATAAACTTCTTATATAACACACACACACACACACACACACATATATATATATATATATACAGGGTGTTTCATAATATATGCGCAGGACTTTAGGATGTGATAGCTCATCCAAAAAGATGAAAAAAGTCGCTATTAACTTACCCTCTAAAATGCACAATTTTCGAGATACAGGGTGTTGAAATTTTAGAAAAAAAATCGTTTTTTTCGAATATCTCCGGAACCGATTATCGTACAAAAAACAGCTTTTGTAAGCATTTTCTACTCAAAATAAGCTATGTTTTGTGCCAGAAAAAAAATTTTTTTTACTCATAATTGGTGGAGATTTTGAAGGGGTAGCGGGTGTTTTTTTCCTCAACTTCTACGCCCCTGAAAAATGTACGGTTTCGAGAGGCCTATTCGAACCGCCAATGTTTTCTACACAAAAAAGGTACTCTTGGTCATAAGCTCTAAAGTTGACCGTTTTCGAGAAAAATCAACTTTTATGTTTAAAAACATGGTCAATTTAAAAAAAAAATAATTTTTTTTTACTAATTAAACAAAATTTATTTTAACGTTAGAACAAGTAACAAAACCAAACCATAATTGCAAAATAAAAATTGATTCAAAAGTTGTCTTTGCTAAATTCTCCAAACCGTAAAGGTAACGCATTTCGAACATTTCAGCATTTGTGTAAAAAATCATTTTTTATTTTTTTTTTTAATTTTGCAATTATCGTTTGGTTTTGTTACTTTTTCTAACGTTAAAATAAATTTTGTTTAATAAGTAATAAATTTTTTTTTTTTAAAAATTGTACATGTTTTTAAATACAAAAGTTGATTTTTCTCGAAAACGGTCAACTTTAGAGCTTATGACCAAGAGTACTTTTTTTGTGTAGAAAATATTGGCGGTTCGAATAGGCCTCTCAAAACCGTACATTTTTCAGGGGCGTAGAAGTTGAGGAGAAAAACACCCGCTACCCCTTCAAAATCTCCACCAATTATAAGTAAAAAAAAATTTTTTTCTGGCACAAAACATAGCCTATTTTGAGTAGAAAATGCTTACAAAAGCTGTTTTTTGTACGATAAACGGTTCCGGAGATAATCGAAAAAAACGATTTTTTTTTTAAATTTCAACACCCTGTATCTCGAAAATTGTGCATTTTAGAGGGTAAGTTAATAGCGACTTTTTTCATCTTTTTGGATGAGCTATCACATCCTGAAGTCCTGCGCATATATTATGAAACACCCTGTATATATATTAGGGTGTCCCAAAAAAAAAATATTTTTTTTCTTCTCGTCTCTTGTGAGAATATGTTGGTTTGTCATGTTTTAAGAGCCCTGTCAAAAGATCAGCACCATTAAAAAATTTTTAGGGGTGGCTCAAGATTTTCAAAAATTACCAAAATCGTCAAAAATTGGATTTTTTTTAATTTTAATTTTTTTTCTCGTTCCAATATTATTTTTTAATTTAAAAATAATAATGATTCTGAAAATTTCAAATCGATATTTTAATTTCTAAAGGTCGCTCAAGATTTTTTTAACTTTCAAAGTAGAGTATTTTGAATGTTTTCGAGCGACCTCTGAATATAAATATCAATGAACATTTAGCGACCTTTAGAAATTAAAATATTGATTTGAAATTTACAGAATTTTTATCATTTTCAACCTAAAAAATAATATCGAGACGAGAAAAAGAATTAAAATAAAACAAAAATTAAATTTTTGACGATTTTGAAAATTTTTAAAAATCTTGAGCGACCCCTAAAAAATTTTTAATCGAGCTGATATTTTGAAAGGGCTCTTACAGCATGATTAACTAACATATTTTTACAAGAGACAAGAAAAAAAAATATATTCTTTTTTTTTGGGACACCCTAATATATATATATGGGTAATTCCATATAATATCGTGTTGTTTGAAACTTTTATGTAGCTTGCTTTTAGAACGTACAAAATATATAGTATATTAAAATAAATTTAAATACCATTTTATTATTAATTTGTAATATTTAGTAAACATACCTACCCAAATTTTCATGTAGGATGATTATTGCTAAATCCATATAAATATCACCTTGTGACACAAATGGAATAATTTTGTTTTAGTATAAAAGAGGTGTAACACAATAATTTGGTATCAGTTGATCAAATCTTCTCAAATTGTATAGAAGAATACCATTCGCGAAAATGATAAAATTGGTAAGAAAAGCACTCTTATTTTTTTAAAATTTAGATCAAATAGGTAATTTATAATAATTTATTTTTGTGACAACTACTTTTTATAACAATAATAAATTTATTTGAACAGTATTTATATTTTATATTGTCTCATCTGTCATTTTCGAACTAAACTAGCATTTTATATTTTTTAATTGTTTTCAGGTGATTGCCTTTGCTTTCGTAGCTGTAGCTAGTGCTCAGCTTCGTCTCCAACCCTTCAGGGCTCAACCCCAACCCATTACCTACCAACCTGCAAGGAAAGTACAAGCTTACCAAACTGGACAAGAAATCCCAATTCTTCGTCAAGAATCCGACATCAGCCCTGATGGCAGCTACAAATATGCGTAAGTATAACAATAAAAAACAGTATATTCAACTGATTTTATGCTCTTTTTAACATGATTTATTTTAAACATATTTCTTCTTCAGTTACGAAACTGGTAATGGAATTGCCGCTCAAGAACAAGGTGTAGGGGGACAAACTGCTCAAGGTGGCTTCGCCTGGACTTCCCCTGAAGGAGAACAAATTCAAATCCAATATGTCGCCGACGAAAATGGTTACCAACCACAGGGTGCTCACATTCCCCAACCACCACCAATCCCAGCTGCCATCCAAAGAGCTTTGCAATGGATTGCCGCTCATCCAGAAAAGCCCGAACAAAGATTGGTTAGATTCTAAGAAGTTGTTTTGTTGTATAGTTTATAGTATTAAAAATATTCAAATTAAATTTTTGTTTATTATTAGTATTGCCCTTAATATTTATTTGTATGTCTAGACCTAAAATGTTGGTACAAAAATTAATTTAACAGTTCTATAGAGCCTGTAGTTTGAGGTTTGGAGTTTGGGGGTAATAGTTTTTTTTGTTGTTGTAGGTAGGTATTTAATTTATATAATTGAATAACATAATAGTTTTTGAATTAACTAATATCATTGTATGATCTTTAGACCAATAAATATTATTATTATTATACAAGAAAAAAAATTGTTTTGAACACTTTTAAAACTATTACCCCCAAACTCCAAATCCCAAACTCGATGGTATCGTGTTTATTTCTTTTGATGTTGTGTTAGTAGGTTCGGTAGTAACCCATATTATATTACTCGATAGTTCGATTTTATCCTACCCGATTAACATTCTGCACACTTTTTTTTCAATTGATTATTCTATACAGGGTGGTCCAAAATAAACCTTTAATAATAATTAATTGTGACTATTTCCCTCGTCTTAATTTCCACCAATCACAAACGCGCAATTTTGAATTACAAATGGTTTCTAGGTGAAAAAACTGTGTGACAGCACCTGTCAGCAGTTTTTTCGAGTTTACCCGCGGCAAAACTTGACAGCTGTTGTCACCAAAAATTGCAATTTATATTTTAATTCTTAACTTTTACTCATGAAATAATCTTGTCAAATACCATTCGGGCATCTAATTTTTCCTGTGAAAAAAATCTAAAAAACACAATGCTAAGTAATATTTTTTAACAAAATGCATTCGTGCAGGTGCAAAAATCCTCCTCTTCGACTCGGATTTTTGTTGCCACCAGCACTCATGCTTTTTGTTAAAATATTACTTAGCAACGTGTTTTTTCGATTCTTTTCGGAAAAATTAAATGCCCTTATGATATTACTTACGAAAATCATAGTTAGGCATTAATAGTATATTATGTATAAAGTTTGATAAACGCCATTTTATAAACGAATTTAATTTAGGCACGAGCGAGCTTACGAGCGAGTGCTTAAGTTAATGAGTGTATAGAAAAGTTTATAAACGAGGTGCATACTATACTTTTTCTACGACAAATACTTATTATTATCTTAAAATAATTTAAATCAAAAATTTGTATAGAGCGCCATCTATGAAACAACAGGGGAAACTGTCAAATGTCACATTCAGATTCACATTTTTACATTTTATAAACACAATTATAAAGGTTATAAATCGAACTTTATCTTGAAAATTGACAGTTTTTCACAGTGAAAGTAAAGCAAATGTTTTATGAGGACTTTACAGTGGAGTCCGTGCCCGAATTTAAGTTATAGTTTACTGCCGGCGAAATTAAAAGGTCAGTACAATGTTCATATAAAGTTTTCAAATATTGGCGTTAAGAAACTATTTAATATTTTTGTATTTTTGTATTGAGATAATAAAATAATTTTCACATTTAGTATTATTTTACAAGAAAGGCACTTTATTTTAACGATTGTATGGCATTTGACAACTGTCAACTAACTTAAAACTAACTTCAGCCCGTGACTAAAAACCTGTTGCTAACTTCAGCCCGTGACTAAAGCGCCGTAAAGCCACAACTTGTCAATATGTATTTAAAAGATCACTTAGTGTCATGGAAACATGTGCGATAAAGGGCGTTTTAAAGGTGGGAGTAGAAAAATTCGTTTTAATACTAAAAGCAGTGGCGTCACCCCGCGGGGGTGATAATCTTTATATATATATATATATATATACATATATATATATATATATATATATATATATATATATATAATATATGTATATATATATATATATATATATATATATATATATATATATATATATATATATATATATATATATATATATATATATATATATATATATATATATATATATATATATATATATATATATATATATATATATATATATATATATATATATATATATATATAATAAATATAAACCTCTGTAAAATCTTTATTTATTGTGCGATTTTAACCGGATTTCTTTTAAAGTGTATATCTTGATAAACTGTATTTTTGGAGCAAAAGATGCCATATTAGTACAAAATACAAGGCCTACTATGTCAGTTTTTAAGAGTAGATTTTTAAGAATTTATATTAGCGATTTTTTTAAACAAAATCTAAGCACGGCACTGGATTCACAACCCCTTAAAACGACCCTTTACTAAATTTTATAGAAAAATTTTAAGTAGAAAAATGCACAATAATAACCACAAAAATTTATCCATGAAAAAAACATTGAAATAAAATTAAACTTATAGTAGGTAATAGTACCATGTTACTATTAGTTTAATTTTATTTTAAGGTTTTTTCATGGATAACTTGACAAAATAAATTTTTGTAGTTATAATTGTGCATTTTTCTACGTAATATTTTTCAATAAAATTTAGTATAGGGTCGTTTTGAGGGGTGTCGAATCCAGTGCCGTGCTTAGATTTTATTTTTAAAAATCTCTAATATGAATTCGTAAAAATTTACTTTTAAAAACTGACATAGTAGGCCTTGTATTTTGTAAAAATATGGCGTTTATCAAGATCTACACTTTAAAACAAATCCGGTTAAAATCGCACAATAAATAAAGATTTTACAGGGGTGAGTCACAAACAAATGGATCACACTGTATATATATATATATATATATATATATATATATGTATATATTATTTAACCAATTTTCAAATACTCTCCAAAAAATTAATAGATTTTAATTATATATAATTATTCTTTCAAACATAATTATAAAATTTGTAAATACTCTGGATTTGTTCCAATATTTATCAATATCAGGTCATTGGTCAATTTTCCAAAAGCCTTATATTTGCCCAAATAAACATAAAAATTTGTCATTTGTCAAAATTAAACTAACGCGTTGCAACGGTAACCTACCTAACTTAATCCAAACTGCATTTGCATAATATTATTGGGCACAATTTGATCATTTATTGTTGGCCATCGCGATTGCACAAAGATCATAGGAATATTAAGTATTGTATTGTACATTAAAAGGGCAAATCTTGGTCAAGTTTTGACCTAATATGGCTGTCTGGGTAGTATCTAAATAATGTTGTTTTTTGTTTGCTCTTTTGTTAAATAAGGTAAAAAATGTAAACGTACAAACCTACAAACTACTGTTGAGCTCAACGTCTTAGGCCAATATATTTTATCAATATATTGTATACAGGTGTCATTTCGTTGAATGAGATAGTACTGATGACACTAACTAACTGACAACAATTTTTCCACTTGATTGAAATTTTCAAATTGCAAGAAAATAATTAAACTATCCTCAAAAACAACAAATTTATAATTTTTTTAATTTCTTTATTTTTAAGTCTATTGTCTCAATTGAGCGTATTGGTTTTGGGTGTATTTCAACTGAGGTTCTGGGTGGGCTTCGTTCCACGCGATGGACCTAAGGATAGCTTCTGGGATTGGGTGTACATGTGGTCCAGTTGGTTGGTATCCATTTTCGTCGGCGACGTATTGGATTTGGACTTGTTCGCCTTCGGGGGAAGTCCAGGAGAATTGTCCCTGAGCGGATTGGCCTCCAACACCTTGTTCTTGGGCGGCAATACCGTTAGCGGTTTCGTAACTGAAAACAATAATGAAGGTTATCACAACGCACTATTTTTAAACTTTTCACTTTTTTTCACCACACTGATATCACTTACGCGTATCTGTAGCTGCCGTCAGGGCTGATGTCGGATTCTTGACGAACAATTGGGATTTGTTGTCCAGGGGTCAAGTTGTATTGGCTTTGGACTTGGACCCTTCTCACGGGTTGCACGGCGATTTGTTGAAGCTTTATTGGTTGCAGCCTGGCTACTTGTTGAAGCTTGATTGGTTGCAACCTGGCTACTTGTTGGGGTCTGTAGGAGTTGAAGTTGAGCTGAGCAGCAGCTGAAGCTACCAAAGCGAAGGCGAGAATCTGAAAAATACAAAAAAAATATAAATCGTACCTACCACTACTAATGATAGTTTGTATTTATTACCAATTTCATCATTTTGTACTATTATTTAGTTAACTGTGAGGAATGAATTTCACAAGTGATAAACTATTGATAAATTGATGGCTTTTTATAGCAAATATTTGCAGGTGTGTGGCAAGGCTTTGTGATCTTTACATGTCACTCAATAAATTTTTTTTACAAGGTTTATTAATCGCTTAGCATTTAATTTGATATTCATTATAATAACACATTTTTATTAAGCCAAATCGTTATTGACTATCTAACGAAATTAGTTTTAAAATATTCATCCTTTAACTTTTATTGCCTATTTTATAAGGGTATGCACATATTAAAGATATGCCATGGCAAAATTAAAAATTTCAATATTTTATGTAAAACAAAATTAAGTCAACTTAATCAAACTGTAGCTCCACGTTTTTTTCGTAAAATAATCCATTTAAATGATATCGGAAGCAAAATTTAAAATATACAGGGTGTTTCATCGATTAAGAAACATCATATAAAGGGTCTATACATGAACTCTAGCTCACTTAGAAGTCATTTCTCGCACTATGTTTTTATAACATTTTTTTATATACACTGCACGTCAAAATTAACGCATAACAAGTAAAAAAATTCCAACTCTAAAACGCATTTAACAATCTTTATAAAATATATAGGGAAATTTATTTTTTAGTAAATAAAAAATTTGTTGTGAAAGACCGTATTTTTGTTAGCATACCCTGAAAATTTTGTACAAATCAAAAGAACATTATCGAAAATACAGCGCTTAAAAAATGACCACTTTTCAGCAAAATAATAAAAAAAAAACTTTCGAACGTTTTTTTAATTATTAAATAAAAGAGCTTTAAAAATATTTTCTTGAAAAACCCTCGAACACGTAAACTGAGATATAAGTTGAAGTATTTTTATACAACATTTCATAAAGATTGGTAAAGGCGTTTTAGAGTTGGAATTTTTTTACTTTTTTTGCGTTAATTTTGACGGGCAGTGTAGGTACAGAAGTATTTTGAGTTCTACCACCTTGTAAATTTTTCAACCAAAACATCATTTGACTTTATTTTATGGTATATTATTCAAAATCATCAAAAATGCCGATTTCTCTCTTAATTCAATTAAAAAAACTAATAATTCACTCTACAAAAAATCAAGTTTGATTTATAAATGTATATTTTCAATTCTTAGTAAAACCACCAGTGTTTAGGTAATAGCAATTTAATCACCTTGTATGAATAAATTATATAAAGATGTTACTGGTGACATACTGTAGGTATCCTTTAAACGCCAAATTAATGGAAGATTGCTTAACATTTTCTTAATCAAAACATTTACATTTTAATGGGATTTTATTTATTAGTGATAGTTTATATTGACATCCTTCAATTAATTTATTAACAAATTTAACATGGTAAACGTGCTAAAGGAGCCTCCCCAATTTTTTATTACATATACCCAAGAACACTATATATACATAATATGTATACTATACATAATATGTATAATATATATTGTATGTATTACATATATGTATAGTATACATTGTATAGTGACCAGCAAAAGTATGCAACAAATTCATTAAAAAATGAGCCTTTTTTCCCCAAACAATTCCTTGAACAAGTCGATTTTGCTTTTTAATTCCGTACATTGTAAAATTTTCATATTTGCCGCCATTTTTGTAGAAGCTATGTAGTCATTGGCCGTTCTTTTTAATTTTTGCACATTAGAATAGGTTATGAAATCTAAATTCAGCAATATGCACTTGTATTGGTTTCTTTACAGTAAGCAAGCCTATCCCAAAATTCTCTGAGAACGTTTTGGATGACCGCACTAATAAAGGGACATTCTTCACGAATTTGAATTTTCAAGTCTTTTAAATTTTGTGGTGTGTTGATGTAGACTTTTGATTTAAGGTAGCCCCATAAGAAATAATCGAGAGGGGTGAAATCTGGAGATCTCGCCGGCCACTCTATCTGTCCTCGTTTGCCAATCCACTTTTCAAGAAAACATGTGTCCAAAAAAGTACGGACAGGACGCGCATAGTGTGGAGGTGCCCCGTCCTGTTGAAACCAAAGGGTATCACTTGGTAGATTGGGACCTCCATTCCTATTGGGAAACATTTCTGCTAATGTGGGAAGAATATAGTTTTGCAAAAATTAGTCCTGTCATATTCTTATCAAAAAAGAAAGGACTTACAATCCGATTTTTCACCATTCCTGTCCAGACATTCACTTTTTGCCGGTATTGGGAATTTGCCTCTACTACCCAATAAGGATTTTCTCTGCTCCAGTACCTACAATTTTGACGGTTAACTATCCCATTGAATCAGAAGGTAGCTTCGAAAAAAGTATTTTACGAGTAAAGTGTGGATTATTGTTACATAAATTCATTACACTTTCACAAAATTGTAGTCTACGGTCCGGATCAGCTTAGTTAAGTTTCTGCACCAGTCTAATTGAATATGGATGGTACTTTTCTTTCTTCATAAGACGTAATACTGAGCGTTGGCTGACTTGACTTTTAGTTTCGACCAGGCTAGAAGCACTGTGAGGATCTTCTTCCACACGTAAGAAAATGTCAATTTTAGTGTCTTCGCTAATACTCGGACGGCCAGGTTTTGGGATATTTTTGACATGTCCATATTTTTGACATATTCCATATATCGACACTTGTATTTGCAGAATAACAAAAAACAATAATAAACTGAAAAAGTTTGACCTTGAAATGAAAAATTTTGAAATTTTATGAAAATTTCTTCTTTAAACATTTTTTAATCTTATCAAAACCCCAGTAGGTATAATGAAATATCAGCTACTGTTATAAAGTAAAGTAATTGTCAACAATTTTATGTTACCTTATTAATAATTCCCTTGGTAACGAAATTTTTCCACAAAGGCTAAAAGTTCCATTAAAAATTATATACAAATTAGTTAACTACCTATATTCTTAACGGATTTAGAGTCAGCAATGTGTAAAAAGCTTGTGGAATTCTTTAATAAATGCTCTTTGTTTAGCCAAACCCAACATGGTTTTTTGACGGGTAGATCGATTGAAACTGCAGTTTTCACTTTCTCAGAAAATAGTTAGTAATTTTAAAAATAAAATGCTTTCACTAGGGATGTTTTAAGACTTGTCCAAAGCTTATGGCAGCTTAAATTACGATATTTTAATAAGCAAACTATACAACTATAGAGGAAGGGATTACCACTGCAGTGGTTGCTGTTGAACAATCACATCTTGATGCCAATATTTTAAGACAGTTATACCACAAGATAGCATTGCTGGACCTTTTTTATTTATTATTTATTTAAATGATTTGAAAGACTGTTTGATAAATAACACAGCCACACAAAAAAAAAAGTGTCGTGATCTGGGGACATATGCTTTCCTATGGATTTTGACGCGCTGAATCCGAATCCGATGTCAAAATTTGTCCTCCAGGTCCGCGTTTCAACCTAACCTCAAAAAACGTGAAAAAATTAGTATTTTCTGTTCTGGGGATGAGGCATGTCGATTCTTATGTTTTTCGATGCATTGAATGTAAATAATTTCTCAGAATCGATCGCACAGGTTGTTATTTTTACTCTAACCTCGAAAAAATGCAATGAAATGAAACATACTGAAATTGTGATATACTGCCTTAAAGGCTAGTTTTTTTTTTGAAAGCCTATATCAGCGGAGTCTCATTCTTACAGTTGACATAAACTAACTTTAACTCACCTAACCTAACCTTAAATCACCTAATTTAACCTAAACTGGCCTTATATAACCCTTATCTTCTATCGCAGATTTTACTATTCTGTAAAAAGGTAAATTTTAACACGATAAGCAATTTCTTTACAACAAATTTACTGTTTTATTCTCTCTATGGGGGTGTTAAATGAATTTAAAATTACACTTCCTCGATTCACATTTGGATAGGTTTCCCGACAATGTTGGTGACTACAGTGAAGAACGAGGCGAACGGTCCATCAAGATATAAAAGTCATGGAACAACGGTATCAGGGTAGATGGGATGAAGTCATGATGGCTGATTTTTGTTGGATGCTGAAAAGAGAAGCTATTTTAAAGGGGAAAAAACGAAGGCGAAACCCTTTGCATCGATCATTCGAAGAGAAAAGGACACGATATAGTGGAAAGCAATCAGACTGAAGACATTCAATCAATTTTTTTGATATGTCGTCAACTAAGATTTCATCAAAACATAAAAAAAGAAATTATGAGCTTCAGGTAGTAAACTACAACGCTAAGAACATTGACAGCTTCAGAATGGAAACACTGTAACCACGTGTACTTATTGTGATTGCCAAAGAATCAACTTAAAAAATCGAATTCCTCGAAGTAACAATGAAATATGAAAATGTTTAAGACTCAAGTTATCAGGTAAGCTTCACAAATGATAACGCAAAAACCAAATGTTGAATGTTAATTTGAATTTTCAGACATTGATACCAATAATTTCTGTGTTTTAATTTACCATTTTGAAGGAATATAATCTGAAAAATCTGCGATGGTTATATTAGGCCAGGTTAGGTTAGGTTTCTTGAGAATGAGACTCCGCTGATATAGGCTTTAAAAAAAACAGCCTTCAAGGCAGTATATGACAATTTACTATCATTTCCATTTACCATTTTTCGAGGTTAGAGTCAAAAGAACAACGTGATTTTGAGAGCTTATTTACATTCAGTACATCGAGAAACATAAGAATCTACATGCCTCATCCCCAGAACAGGAAATACTAACTTGTTCACGTTTTTTGAGGTTAAGTTGAAACGCTGACCTGGAGGAGAAATTCTGACATCGGATTCGGATTCAGGGCGTCAAAATCCATAGGAAAGCATATGTCGCATGCCCAGATCACGACACTTTTTTTTTGTGTGGCTGTGTAATACAGTGTTTTAATAAACTATGCTGATGACAGCAATATCATTACAGAAATTAAAACCTTTCAAAGTTTTATGAAAAACGCAGATGGGGTGTTGCGTAGTCTTGTACAGTGGTTTAACAAAAATAAATTTATCTTGAATACAGACAAGTCTAATTTTGTTATTTTTTTTAATAAAAAATAGTTACTTAAATGTCCC